ATCGCCTACTCGCCTACTCGCCTACTCGCCTAATCGCCTACTCGCCTAATCGCCTACTCGCCTACTCGCCTAATCGCCTACTCGCCTAATCGATACGTATCCTTTACTCACCGCCTGATCGCCTACTCGCCTACTCGCCTAATCGCCTAATCGCCTAATCGCCTAATCGATGTATACTTTTCATTTTGAATCATCGCCTAATCGCCTAATCGCCTAATCGCACGTACGATCGCCAACTATGAACGCTCCATTAGCTCCGCACTCCACTGCGCGTATCAAACGGTGAGCTTCTGCAAAGATGGCAGCCTATGGAACGGTCAGCTAACGCATTTTACGAAGCAACTCAATGTTTAGCGGTGAATCCAACGCTTTATCGGCTGTCCTGTTTTATCCGAGCCTTCCGTTTCATGCGCGCGGTAGCGTGCGGAGCTAAACTGGTTTAGAAATAACAACAAACATGATATGAGGCAAATATCAATTGAGATTGATCACGTAGCTTGTGACGCAGTAGAAAGCATTCAACACCGAAAATGCCCTAACCATATGTGTAGCCATAAGCGTACCTCATCGAGTTCTCACTCTTCTGTATGCGATCTAATGTAGTAACGAACACGTTGTTCGTCGGGCAGCATGTTATAGCAGCTCGACAACAGCTGCTGTTTGCAGCATCACGATGAAGTCCACACCCTTGTTGAAGGAGAATGGGCCGTGCGTAACATTTTCTTCTGTCCACGATCGGCATTTCCTTCGTCGCGTTCGTTCCCATCTTCAAAATCGGCACCTCATTACAGTCGTGGTCGGAGCAACTAAAACTTTTGTGGGGCATACTTACGACGCCAATTTGCGTCTCTTGATGCCACACTGGCGCCACAAATTGTCGTGTTCGTGATGAAGGTGATTGTCGTCTTTAGGGCAGAGATTCCCCTCCATATAGGTCTTTGCCTACCTTGACAACGAACAGTGTTAGTGGCGCCAAGTTGACGCAAGCCCACAGATGCGTGTGAGTGATAAGTGGCATGTTCGTAATCAGTACACTGAATCAGCTGTATAGACGAGTTTGCACAAGGCGAGACCTTTGGGTTTTCTATGGTCCCACGCGGCAAACGCTCCAAATCCGCTACGTGCTAGGCATTGTGGACGGACAGACAGATACGCACGTCGTCGTGCTTGTAGGCCGACCGACGTGCAAATCTGCACACCACTGAATGATTTATATAGTAGAGTGGTAGAGAGACTTGGTAGGTCGCATTTACAGCCATGAGTGATTCCGATGAGGACGATCTTGGATTTGTTCCTGTGAGTTCGTATTCTGCATTTTCCCGTTCTGCCACTCTCTAAAACACTGCTTTCTTCCTCGTGAGCGACACCACAACACGTCATGAAGTGGTCACACCGCAGCTATGTCATAAAACCAGGGACTGGATGAAAGCGAACTTTCCTCCCAGCTCTTTATTGATTGATCTCTCCTTTATATTCCCAGCGTGTCCATATTGTGCAAGTGGAACGTAGTCGATGGAAGTGTTTCAACAGTGGCTTTATGTAAATAAACTTAAAAGATATAGTCGTACAATCGAGGCATCATCTCAAGGTGAAAAGCTCTTTGAAACTGGTTGACGTTCAAAGGTTAAGCGAACATACGAAGGTAGGAAGAACTGCTCACATTGAATTCACTATGTACAGTCGATATCTCGAAGTCAGATTAGGCGTGTCTATGGGTTTGACGTGGCGGCCGCCGCACTTGATGGAAGTTGCGCGGATAAGCTGCTTCCAGCATGCTTTGCTGATATCCAACGGAGTATGTTAGAAACAGCCTATCCACACGGCTTTTATCAAGTGCGGCAACGGCCACGTCAAATCCATAGCCACGCCTAATCTGACTTCGAGATATCGACTGTACATAGTGAATTCAATGTGAGCAGTTCTTCCTACCTTCGTATGTTCGCTTAACCTTTGAACGTCAACCAGTTTCAAAGAGCTTTTCACCTTGAGATGATGCCTCGATTGTACGGCTATATCTTTTAAGTTTATTTACATGAAGCCACAGTCCCTGGTTTTATGACATAGCTGCGATGTGCCCACTTCATGACGTGTTGTGATGCCGCTCACGAGGAAGAAAGCAGCGTTTT